GAAGCCCTGTGATGTTTGCTCAGTGAGTGTGTGTGTGTGTGTGTGTGTGTGTGTGTGTGTGTGTGTGTGTGTGTGTGTGTGTGTGTGTGTGTGTGTGTGTGTTTGCTTGCTTGTGTGCGTGTGAGAGCATAAATCCCTTTGGAGTTTCAGTGAGAAAATTTGCCTTCAAAATACAAATTGATCACATTTTTATGACCTTTATTTTGTGGGATGATGAAAGGGTTTTTGGTTGATTACTTCTGAATCATTAGCATCACAAACAAGAGACAACTGATTAAAATGGACTGGAAGCACAGAATGAACAACATTAAAGTTAAAGTCCCATTAGTCGTCACACAGTGGTGAAGTATTCTTTCCACATTTGATCCATCCCCATGCGGAGCGGTGAGCTGCAGACACGGTCGTGCTTGGGAACTATTTGGTGGTTTTACTCCCCCAGTTGAACCCCTTGATGTTGAGTGTCTAGCGGGGAGGTTTGGGGATGCCGATCTTTGGTGTAACTCGACCATGGATTTGAACTCTCATTCTCCCAGTCTCAGGGTGGACACTCCCACTACGAAGCTACTGAGCTAGTTCTCTGTGTGATCTAGCTGCGGCAATCTCAGGCCCTGTCCACACGTAGCCGGGGATCTGCGTAGATATTTTTCTACGTTTTGGCCTGTCATCCACACGAAAACAGAGTTTTTTCACACGAAAACGGATCTTTTTAAAAACTCCGGCCAAAGTGAAGATCTGCGTTTTCTCCGTTTTGGGTGACTGCGTGTGGACAGAAAAAAACGGAGTTTTAAGGTCCGCAACGTCACTTTCCGCGACAAAAAAATGCTGACATCACGTGTGCGACCTGTGTTTACACTAGCCGACATCATGGAAGCCCTCAGAGCTGCGCTCGCTTTATCAATTGTCCAAGCGCTTTTTGCTTGTTTGATTTTGCAAGCGGAATTACTGCTCCTAGCAGAAGACCACAGACGACGCTGACTGGATACAATTCGGGGGAAGTACTGCCGCCTACAGGTCTGGCATGTCCTTAACAACGTATTTATCCGGGTACGTGTGGACAGAGTTTTTTTTTTTAAAAGAGGTGGTGTGGATGCAAGTTTTTGGAGGGGTGGATATTCGTTTTTAAAAAAACCTGGCTACATGTGGACTAGGCCTCAGTTTGAACAGAAAATCATACGTAGTTTACAAAGGTTGTTCGAGATGTTGAGTCATGAGATAAAGCAAAAAGGGGTTTTACTAATGATTACTGCTGTGCCAAATTATTCCATTTGTTTACTTCAGAAGATTGTTCTCCAAACAACATGCCTTTGACATCGCTACTGTCAGGTTAAAACCTTGTATCTGTTTTTCCATCATTTGCATGTTTAACATAAATCAGCTATACTGGTCACCCTTCACGTCAGTCGGTGGTTTTATGAAAGGTTATCAAACTAAATGTTTTAAAATGACCTTTTGCCCCTTTCAGGTTTAGATTTTGGAGACACAAGGTGTTTATCCAATAGTCTAAAGTGGTTTTGTTCTTGTTGTTTGTTGTATGGTGATCCAATCTGGGTCCAACATGAACTCAGAAAGTGGTTTCTGCACCTGCAACAAGAATTTACGTAATCTTTAATTCTGCTGCTATAATTAAAGAGTCCTCAGGAGAACAAGTATTGGGATCGAGCTTCCATCTCCAAATGTGAAAATGTCCTCGGGAAAGAAACTGAACCCCATGTGGTCCTGATCTGCAAATCGTTGTGTGATTGGGATAAGGTGACATTTATTGCAAAAGGGACTCTGAGTAGTCAAGACTAGAAAAGTGGCAAATAAATGCAGTCCATTTACTGTTCTGTTGATCTAAATTATGTAGGAGTAGTCAGAATCTTTATTTGCTGGCTAATGTTTCCAGCTGAGTTCTAATTAATGACGCTTATCGATAATCTTTGATAAGAAACAATCAGTAACAATTAGTTCTGCTCCAGTTGTTTCAGATTACTGCAAGTTGTATAGAAGCTATCGAGTTAGTGAATCGGTTTAAGTTCAGTGATGGAGCATGGAGGCTGTGTGTGTGTGTGTGTGTGTGTGTGTGTGTGTGTGTGTGTGTGTGTGTGTGTGTGTGTGTGTGTGTGTGTGTGTGTGTGTGTGTGTGCGTGTGTGTGTGTGTGTGTGTGTGTGTGTGTTGAGGAGCTCCCTTGGTGACCAAGCCTGGATGGCTGCCGTCTTGTCGAAGATTTTCAGTGATTACTGTGAAAATTACTCGCAGATTGCCGTGAATTCTGGACTTTCTCCATCTCTCCGTGTGACACCATTTCCACCTGACAACCACAGAATCATTAGGAAAAACTATTTCAGCTATTTTCAGATATATATTGCAAATATATGGATGCCAAAGTTATAGTTTCACACTTAATTTCAAAGTGCATTTCAAACGACAACTGACCAGAACTAAAATGATCAATGTAATATTTTATAGTTACATATTCAAAACCACACAAATTCACCATGAAGGTGTGTCTAGTTTCGCTTTACCTGGACATTGTCCCAGAAAAAAAAAGATGTACACCCTTCGTTTGTTTCCCAAACCTTGTTTCCCGCAATTTAAAATCTTCGTCCTGCTTTTGATGACAAGGGTGACCATTGATCCTCAGTAAAAACACATCAGCTCGATTCATAACCAGTTGCTTATTGTAGCTATTTTTGCATTGCCAAGACCACCGAGTGTATTCAGGATTCATATTAAAGACACAAAACACAGTTGTGTTTTCTCAAAAACCTTGGGTTCCTGAAAGTTCAAGTGAAAAGGTTTGTTCCAATGTGAATTATGTTTTTCTGATACAAACTAAGCAGACTAAACATCGAGAGAAAAATATTAAGGAAACAAAAAAAGAGCAAAGGTCCCACAAGATGTGGAAACACTTTCCAAGTTGGAATTAAACAAGCTTATTATTTTATTGTTGGTCTTTGCTTTTGATTTTAAAATATCCAGGCAGCTCCAAACTCTGCTCTGCTATGCTGTATTTATTAGAGATAAACAGTTTAATATACTCTAGAGTGTGTAGAATACAAGCAAAAAGTTTGAGCCACAATGCCACCTTCTCCTTTTAGTCCAAATTAAACCATTTCTGGCTCCAAAGAAACACAGGTCAATACTACTGCGTGCTGGACTTCACAACACCTGGTAAACATGTGTGACATCATAGTGGCCAAGTCCATCTTTTATCTGCAGCACGTGATCCAAACCAGAACCACAGATATGATGGGTGAGTTCCCAAAGTCAGCATTTTTGTCCTTTTGCATCACAAAACAAATACACACACCCAATGTTTAGCATAACTTCCAGATGGCAACGTAGAGACGCTGTGGACACTGTTGAATCGATTTCAATTGACATCATTGCTGCTGCTCATCACTAACATCTTTGTTCCTGTGTGTTATCAAGAGGAAGTGAACACCCTGACACTAAACCTCCCAAAAGAGAGGGAGGATACAGATTTAACCTGTTAACCTTTAACCTATAATCCTTTTAAACAACTAGGATCCAGTCACATCTGTTAAAAACACACCCAACGCTGGAGCAGCAAGGTGAAATAACAGGCACATCCCATCTGAATTAATAGGAACTGGACACATTGTACATCTCCTTTCTGGGTTCCAACATCAACGTTTGATCTTGAGTGAACGTGACCTCAGCGCACATTCACGCAGGATCAGTTTCTCCTAAAGGAAGAGTGGAATTAATATGGTTTGTGTGTTGATGTGATTGCCAAGTTTGGTTCAGAATTCATCCCTCTATTTATTACCCACACTTGTCTACACTAAAGGAACTTGTTGTCTGTTGTTTCTGCTCATCTCTTCTGTATGAAGTTGTTCATTACAGGTTATAACTAGATTAACATGTCTGACATGAAAAGCGTAATTATAGCATCTTCCCTAGGGCGTGACACGTTTCCACAATTACTCAGTATACGTTTGTTCAGTTAATAAGGCAGAAAATCATTTCGATCTCTGCAGCAAATATTATTTAACTTATCAAACGGCCTCAGTGCTTCCCAGTGACCTCGTTTATTGTTATATTATAAGATCCTATTTAAATATGCAGAGTTTGGTATGAATGAATCAAACATAAATCAAGAAGGCATTCTTATTGTGGAGCAGCATTGTAAAAGTGTGTAAACATGAATAAATTGGAAAGTTCAACATAACCAAGCAAGACTTGATTAAAAGTGTAGAAAACTCATTTAATAAATGCATTTGCAGTGGGGTTTAGTAGGAATGGATGTCTTTTAAGTTGCACAGAGGTGGAACAAATATACCGGTGCACTATTTCCAGTGACCCACATAGCAGCAGACTGAGGTTTTGGAGTCTCATTTCCTGATATTTGGGCATCTCTTAGGATTGGATAACAGCAAGACGACTCTACCACTGACTTGTTACATGGAAGTTTCATCCCCCCCAAAAACCACAAGGCTGGAGGAGCTTCTGCCATGTGGTGATGTCGCTAATGCTAACAGTTAGCTTCTGCTAGTCAAGACGTCATCTGCTGTTTCCTGGACGATAAACCAACAGCTTTCCCATTGTGAATTTAGATGGGTGAGTTCATGATTATTAAGTGACTGTGTGACATAGATCTGTCAGGCTTTTTAAGTCCTAGAGTTTTACTATTTATTGTCTATCAGAAGCTAATGCAAGAGATAGGTGTAGGAAACAATTTTCATGTTGAGCCTGCATGAACAACTCACCCTTACCAATTATAATCAGGAATATTCATTAAAAATGGGTTTTCAGTGTTCCACACCTTTAAAGTTTTGATTCACATAACTTGACTCCACAGCTATTGCAGACATTCCTTTAAAAAATCTCTCCATGATGTTTTATATATTATTATATTATTTTAGTCAAAGGCGGGATTCAGAAATTCCAGTGGCAGCACAGGAAATGTGAGCTGTCTGGCAGCATTACAGATGCCGAGGGCCCCTCCCCTCCCGCGGTAACACAACTGGGAGGATGCCGTCTCTTCCCGGGGCCAGCTGCCACACAATAACCCATCTATCCACAACACACACACGCACCATGGTCTGAGAGTTAAAGAAGAGTGCCTGTTTCTCTAGAACTAACAAACAGAGGAGTGGAACCCGTCTCGCCTTCTTACTGAAGCCGTTCTAGCATTATACCCCTGTTTGGTTTTTTCACTTATTTTCAAGTGCATCAAGGAACTCTCATGAAGGGAAGAGACGTGCTCCTTTGAGCGCCGCAGGTTCTGTTGCACGTGAAGACAAGAAGTTGAGCACACGAGCAGGTGAGATGAAAGGCACAGCAGCACTCAAAACTGTCATTTAATCCTCGTTTTCTGTGTAGCAGTGATAACCAGAGGTTTGTTGGTGTTTACATTTCTCATGGAAAAAGTAGCAAAACAGTTTGACAAGTTTAGTTTGTTTTTTTAATTTCGGTTGATTTCTTGTTCATTACGGATGCTATTCTCTTTCTTGCACTTTGTGATACCAGACATTTTTTGGAAGGCATTCCAAGTGCTTCTACTCATGAACTTTCCATACTTCTAACAGTACCCCCAAAAACATTTTAATTTAATAATGAATTCTTACTGCAAAGAGATGAAATCGCAGATGAATGAAGAAAGTATTATATATATATATATATATATATATATATATATATATATATATATATATATATATATATATATATATATATATATTAGATACCTTTACAAACAAAGATGCTGTGCAATTATACCCCCAGTCCACTGCAGGGTTTACTATTAGCGTTCCACAGCATGGATTTTTGATTTATCCAAACCAGGTTTTTACTTCAGAGATTATCTATGAAGCTGTAAAAATAAAGTCGTGCACCTCTTCATCCAACCATGCTTGTGTATCAAAAAGTCAGACGCTCGCATATCTCTTGTTGCGTGTCTGAAGGTTTATCTTACTCTCTAGAATGAGTTATGGGCTGCAGGGAGTGTTATGAGTGTGGCAAAGTAACTGATGAGGCAAGGTAGAAAAAGGAAGATTTAGCTGCATTTCACTGGTTGCATTTGTGAGCTTTTGGTCAGCATGACGTTTCAGCCCACAGAGGAACACCTTATTGTTTAAGCATTCTCGTTTTAGCTCAGTCTATTTTAGTCAGTCAGAGAGATAGGGTTAGGCGCACCAAACGGACTGTTTACTCCAACATGGGGGAGGTTCAAAACTACTTCTTTGCACGTTGAGAGCACTGATCTGACCCAGAGTATGAAATAAACATTTGATCTGTTCAAACTTTATGTGAGGCATGTCCAGACAGATGTAAAAACACCCATACAGAGATGTGTTTTCACTGGCTTGACAGACCTTTCCTGACATCATCCCAATCATCTCGAGACTCTTTATTTTCTGGAAGGTGATAAAAAATGTAAAATGAAAGAAAGCTTTCTCTAAAGTCAACAGGTTTTGATGGAAAGTGTTTTTAAGGCATGCTGTAACCATGATGCGTGCTTGCCTTACCTAATATGGTTATGTTTTCTGAATCCCCCAGTGCCGACAAACAAAGCAACTACCTTTACAGCACAGAGGATATTTAAAGAGTCTGCAGTAACAGTTAGGTGCCAATGAGTCGCTGGCAGACAGGCTGGCTGGGGTTGTGTCTCTCTTAACTCAGCAGTGTCTCTACCCTAAGTCAGTGACTTAACTTTGCTGAGTCTTTGCATAAACAACATGATTTTAAACTGCACAACAATAGAAGTGGATCTGAAGTTTGTAGACAACAATAATGCTCTTGAGAGGAGTTGGTGCATAGCATAGATGGGTGTATCCCTGTGTCCTCGGGCTACGAGGGGACAAGTGAGAACACTTATATCTGTCAGTCACTGTTTTCATGCCCTAATGCTCCCGTCCTTCTGCCTCAGGATGGTATTAGCTTACTTGCAGACAAATGTCTAAACACTCACGGACAACTGGTGCACATTCAGACTTGCATGCTCAGGTCATGTCCCATCCAGGATGTGTAGAATGACTTGATTGGTTATCAGTTATCAACAAGCCTACCAGCATGTTTATCCGGCTGTCATCTGCTCGGTTACATGGTTACCGCTCTGTTTTGATTAGCCCCCTGACTTTGTTTCCATTTGGGTTTTTGTGTTCATCATGCCTATTGAAGAGTTGAAGCACAGATCAAGTATCACTTCCCAGCCCCTGCTCCCACCGTTTTCATTAACCCTTTTGTGTAAGAGCAGAGGTGAGCTGGCGCTGATCCAGGCTAGAAGATTAAACCACAACATTAAGGATGGGATGAGTCCTAAATAAAGGGTGCACATACATCATAATCAGTCTTTAGTGTATTTAATTACCACTCCTAGCATGCACATGCGGGATTATTTTACCGCTGTTTTGAGATAGCGGCTTTGAGATGGACAAAACATGATCAGACAAGGCTGCAGGGCTGCAATTTTACTCTTAAACAAACTTTTTTGAAACTCAAAGGAAAAAAACAAGTGATTTTCTCCCCCGTCAATTAATACATTTCATAAAATTATCCGTAAACTCCTCCAAAAGTGCTTATTTTCATATCCAAAATTATGGCCTTATTATTTTACTGTGTAAAGGCTGGGCTGTGAAGTGTGCCACCTTGAGTCAATTCAGTCAGGTGTTCCGCTACATCAACATCCGATCGGTCTTTTGGATTTTATCAGCGAAACATGGCTGCAGCAACTCAAGCAAAGCACCAAAAAATGGCTGTGCTCAAATCCACGGAGACAAAATAGATTTTCTTACCTATAATGTTTTGCAGAAACATTCATTTAGTGTTTAACTTTAATCTAATGCAGTATTTTCTACTTCAAAGCCAATCCCTGCCTCCATCTGTATGATTAGATGATTAAATGGCGAGTAAGGTGATATTCTGGCGATTCATTCTGCATTCGGTTATCAGGGCGACATCATTTCCCAAGAGATGCAAATGCTGAGAAAAGCTCTGAGAATGCAATAACTTATGAAGTTAGAATCAAAAGGGAATCCCAGCTTAATGCTCTCAATATTTATGACTCAACAAAGCCATTTCAAATTTTCTGTAAAGATTGCCAAAAAGCTTTTATGATAATGGTCCTTGGGTTGGCTTCTGATGTTTGTTCCAATTATTCTTATGTTTTATATTTACAGTGAGTTGTTGACACACAGTAAGCCACATCGGGATTTATGTGTATGTGGTGTCAACCCTGTTTTGACAGAATCAACATAAATCAAGCATCCATCTGTTATGATTAGGCTTCAAATAGAGGTCTTACCCTGCTGTTTTCAGTTATTTTAAAGTCTTTTAGCTTCATAATGGTGGAGAAATAAATTAGTGCTAAGATGTAAAGAGTGAACGCTGTCTGTATGTCCAGCTTTGATAGTTATTGCACGAATACTGGTCCACTTTGGAGGTCCGACGTTCCCCGCAGCGAGACCCGATCTCACACAGACTCACAAGCGAGTTACATGCTGGCCTAACCGTGAGGTTAAAAAAAGATGATTGACTGTTGCCAAAAAAAACAACAAATGCCTCGAGAGCTAGAAACAATTACCGATGTTGTTCTGCCAGGTCAGTGCCTGTGGTCAGGGAATAAAGACAAATAGTTGTGCTAATGCACTCTGTCCTGTGAAGATGGAGGGGGTCGATAATGACGTGTTAGCCAGGGCACCTGGGTGTTGCTAAACGCCTCATTAGGGGTGGTCTCTGTGAAAATGCCCATGGCCAGAGCACTTCTTCACCATCTGCTGCTTTCTCGTGACTTCTGGTAACTCCTATGAATGGTGGTTACTTGATGATGGCTACTCAAATGATTTTGTTACAACAAAGCATTAAAGCAACCAGGTTCTTGATAAGCGTTAAGTACCAAATACTAAATAAGCTATATTTTATAGTTAAAATCAGATTTTTCTAAAATAAATCCATAACACTTAAAATGACAATAAATTGCACGTGTTTGAATTATATTTTGATGTTGGATCAGAAGCCAAAAACCTTTTTAGGCTTTAAATCTGTCAAACGTTCTACAAGAGATGTTTCCCATCACCCTCTGCACCACATGCCAGCCACAAAGACAACAGGGGCTCGCGTCACCAGGAAACAGAGGTGTTAGCTTAACCCCCATGCTACGGGCTGTATGTTTGCCCTTTTTCAGCAATCCTTTACCTTTTTATGTGCACGTAAGGGGGTGAGTTAGTCACTTTGCCTCTCAAAAAACAGGTTTTTAAAAGCTCAAGTTCCAATGCATAGTCCCCCCTTTGTTTGGGTGTCGATCTTTGGAGCGATTGCTGTAAAAACCGAAGCTGATGATGAGTGCACTTGAGCCAAGAATAGAGATACCTTTCCTGAACGCTTTGCACTTGGGTCACATCATGTCACCACTGTTCTGCAGATTCTGTCAGGAGGATAAGCTCTGCCTTTGGCACTATCACCTTTTCCCACAAAGTGCAAATACCACACGGATTTAAACCTTTTGACTTCCCTTCTCTCTTTGCCCACTGCTCATCCATCACACAGAGCTCTGTATCTGTATTCCTAACCCTGAAGGTGTGAAGGTGCCTCGAATTTGTCATTTTAAGTAAACAGCAGTCTGTTTATCAGGGTTTAATCCTCTTGGTTTTAAAGGTGTAGGGAACTTGGATGGATGCCACTCTGCCTTTCGAGTTCACTCAATCTTCAGTGAACTTAAGATTTTAACACAACATGATCAAACTGAACAGAAAAAAATAAATGCATCTAAATAAAATCTAGTTTTACGGTAAAAACTTTTAATTTTTATTATGTCATGACAAACGCATGCCCTAAACCATATCATTAATTAATTACGATGTGCTGCCTACGTTATGCTAGACTTAATGGCAGTGTTGTTTATTATTTTTGCGCACAGCCATTCTGTCTGCAAGCACCATATTTGGATTCAGAACGTAAGATAAATGTGCGTCTCATCAACATCTAATCAATAAATTTACCTTGACATTGTTTACGCTGCCACTTGACAGGTTGATGTGTGTTATCTGCGGTGGGTGTGGAAGAAAAGTAATGAGGGCGGCCGCAAGGTCAAAGGAGGAAGCTTTCTTTAGATGTGCTGATTAATTTCTTCACCAATCGTCTGGTTGATTAGTAACTAAACTGCTGTGAAAGCTGCAGTTTTGGCAAAATGTGAAAGAAACTTGAAAAAGTGAAACTTTTTTTGCACATTTGTGACTGAAAAGTAATTGTCCCACAACGACTTCACTCATTACAGCCAACTAATCAGAGCATGAGCACATGCTTGTCCCAAAGTCCTCATGTTAGGTCCTAACTAAGACTTTTTATGTTTAATGAAATAAGTGCCATGAGCCGCACGAGCCTCGGGTGACACAGAAGAGGCGAATACATCAGGCAACTAGCTGAATAAGATATCTGTGAGAGATGGAAATGAAGGAGAGGGAGGAACTGGAACAGGAAGAGCTTGAGGCAAGATGGTAAAATTCATTAGTGTGGTTAGTTTGACCTTTGTTTTGGGCAAACAGGCTTAAAATCAACACAAAAGGAAAGCTACTGATGGACAACAGCTGATAGGGTGAGCTAAAGAAAGGGGGATGCCTGCAGGGCTCCATGGTGAAACAGCTGAATGGTAACAGATACGAGTGTGCACATCCGACTGCACACACCCTCGTGCACACTCACTTGTGATTGCTCCACCCTGGCTTAACCCTTTACGCTGGTACCCCCCTCCCTCCAACAGGTTTGAGAGAAGAGTGGAAACAGAACAAGGCTACTACACACAACCATGAAGACAGAAGAGTCTGGTAATCAGAGCTGGAAAAGAGCTGGAGATCTGTTCTGCTTGCCTGGCAGTGATTATGACGGTAAAGGAAGAAGGACTCTGGTTCTGTCCCATCCAGTGGTCTCATTAGTGGGGCTGATTTTGTTGGCCAGCCTCCCTTTTGGAGCAAGCATCAAACAGAGCGTCCCCAGGGTCAAACTCAGCTACAAAGGTAAGAACTGAAATAACCTTAATATGTCTTGCACACGCTGCGCAGTGGCGCAGTGGTTAGAGCTGTTGCCTTGCAGCAAGAAGGTCCTGGGTTCGCTTCCCGGCCTGGGATCTTTTTGCATGGAGTTGTGCATGTGTGGGTTCTCTCCGGGTACTCCGGCTTCCTCCCACAGTCCAAAAACATGACTGTTAGGTTGATTGGTCTGTCTAAATTGTCCTTAGGTGTGAGTGTGTGTGCATGATTGTTTGTCCTGTGTGTCTCTGATTGCCCCTTGACCGCTGGAGATAGCCCCCCCCCCCCCCGGACGAAAAGGGTTCAGAAAATGGATGGATTGATGGATGGATGTTTTGCACATTTTATTGTACTACAAATGTCATACAAACTTCAGTTTTGCATTCAATTTAGAGCAAAAGAAAGTAAAGGAACTTGATTTGCTTTTAATTTTCTGTCATTAACTTCATTTATTTTTCAGTAACCTCACTCAAAAAGGAGCCCTTTGTGAAGAGTTCCTAATGTTAAATCAAACCTGAGACATGCCTGTGAGGCTGAGTACAAGATTTAAGACTCATCCATTAGTCTGCATTATAATTCCATGTCTAAGTTCCTTTGCGATTCCTTTTTTTGTGGTACAGCTCCGTTATCCTCTCCAAATGTAAATCCTTTTAACTCTAAACTCATGCTCTTTTTTGCTAACACCACAACGGCATTTCAATTTTCCAGTCGTTGTGTCTTCTTTAAATGAAACCTGTATTACTTGTTGACTCTCTTGTAAAAAAACAGACACAAAGTCTGTCTGAGTCCGTTTGCTTCGTGCTTCCAGGGAAACACAAAATTGTTGTGGCCTTAAAGCCAACTCTCAGCTCCTGCCCACACTTTACTTCAAAGTCCCGTGTATCCTCTGCCGTGTGGACTGCAAGAAACCACACAAATGAACTTCAGTCTTGCTTCATAAAACGGAATCCCCACGGCGACCTGAAAGTAAACTCACTCTGACTTCAAGACTCTAAAGGCTCCCTTTCAGTCAAAGCTTCCAAGTATTGCTGGAAAAAGATGTACACATGTTCTTCGTGTCCAACATAAATACATCGAAGTAGCTGCTCGAATAATAACTGCAAGGGACAGTGTTTATGCAGCACTTAAGGCAGCATTTGACTCTGCAGTTAGTCTCAGTTTTTAAGTTTTTTTCCAAAATAAAGCAGCTTGTGTAATTACTTTTTAATAGGGCCACATGTGCATTTGAGGCTTCTTATTTCATTCACTGTCTCGGGATGTTTTATTGATTTGGCAAAAAATGACAGACGTTCAGGATTTAGTCACGCAGTTGATGATCAGACTGTAAAATAGTAGCCCTCTGAGCACAGTGCCCATTTTTGGAATGACCGAGACGTTAAAGACATCCCTCCAAAGTGATTCCTCCAGTGCTTCCGTTATACTCACATGTCATCATCATCTCATCAGTGCACAGTGCTTAAAAGCAACACCGCCCTGCAGAGATCACTCTTCAAACATCACACCACGTCCATGCCCTCCTCCCCCTGCAAAAGCACGGGCTCAGTGAGTGAAGGTTGAAGTGATCAAAGTCGAATCATCCCTGTGTGAGTGAACACCTTCAAAACAAGCAGCTCCAACCGCCTGAGCTGAAAATCCCCCGCTGAAGGATGGCTTTCATCAGAGTCGGAGTTAAACAGCGTGACTGCCTGATAATGAAAAGGAAAGCTGTTTAATGAAATTGTAAAAACTTATTTATTGCACGGTATTGTGAGTTATTGTCGTGGCTCTGTGTGTGCCTGAAACAGCGGCGCATGTCTTCGTCATGTGGGTTTAATTACTCAAAATGTGGTTTCAATTAGATCGAATTTGATTTGTAAATAGCGGCTACTTATCTTCTGTGCATTTATTGAACACATTTGCTTGGTTGCGTCTCTTCTTGAGATTTAAAACCAGCTGTTGCGTTGACCTCTGTGTCCTGAATCCTTGAACAGAACATTTTGCCCTGAATGTTAACGAGGGAGACCAGGATTGTGTAACAAATACAAAACAGGCTTTTGTCAGCTGGTCTAAATGTCAGGACAGCCTTTCTAAAGCTTGGTTTATGCTTGACGCATTCACTTTCCACGCGGTGATGCGGCTCGCGGATGGAACGTGCTTCACAACTCGCAGCTTTTATGGTTCGTGCGGCTCGTCTCTGCGGTGAGCCAATATTCTCCCAAACTGAACGGGGCAGCATGGAGCTCTACGGCATGCACCCAACACTACACCATAGTAGAAGTAGAAATTACTGTTTACAACATGACATTCCAGCATTTTTAACAGCGTTCTCGTCTTTTCCGACAATGCGAGCTATTTCTCTCCAAGAATTATTAACAACATGTTGATCACGGTGATCTCTGAGAGCTGAAACATGCAAATGTCTGTATTTACGAACCTCTGCCATACTAGTTCTTGCCGGTCCGCCATGTTTTTCCGCGTCCGTCCGCCCGCGTGGTTAGAAATTTTCCAAGGTGCGCGTTGCGGAAATTCTGGGCCGTGCGGAGACGCGGTGGAGGGGCGTGGTTGTTAAAATGACGCAAAATGACGCAACTTTTCCGTGCGGAGCCGTGGGGACCTCGCGGACGCGTCAAGCATAAACCAACCTTAAGGAAACACTGCTCTAATTAGAATTTTTAATCAAACATTTCCATCACATGCAACCATGTCAGATTGACCGTTGTTGGAAAAATTGTGTTTTAATATGATTAGACGTACATTTAGTGGCCTCTCGATTAGGTTCAACATGTTCACACAAATAGGTAATCAGCCAATCACATTGCTGCAATGCAATACAATGCATTTAGTCTTCTGGTGCAGAGAAGTCAACTTGCTGAGCTTCAAGCAAACATCAGAAGAAAGAAGAATGGAGATTTATCTGACTTTGGAAATGCTAATTTACCTGAATTGTATCCAAAACCATCTCTAGGGTTTACAGAGAAAAGAAGAAAACATTGAGTGAGTGTCAGGTTTGATACCCCGTTGATGTCAGAGGTCAGTGGATAAAATGCAGACTGGTTCTAGATGATAGGAGGCAACAGAAGCTCACATACCCCCTCATTACAGCAATGGTCTGCAGAATACCATCTCTTTACAAACATGTTAAAGCAGATGAACAGCAGACAACACCAGGTGTTACCCGTGTCGGCTACAGCAGGACCGAAGCCAAACAGAATCACAGTAATCTTATGGTAAATACCTTGTATAGTGTTTTTCTGAGTGAGATTACTCAAAAGTACTTTACACTACAGTTCACTTGTTCACACACTTGTTCACACACTTGTTCACACACTTGTTCATGACCCCAGGAAGAATAGCAACTGTTTTAACAGTGGCTAATGGTGATCTTAATAAACAAACAAACACTGATGGAAATAAGCTGCATTGTGGTCACACCTGCCTTGGGACACACTGACAGAGTTAGGTTTATATGCACGAGTGTCACCGGTCCTTCCAACCACTACAAGCAGGGTGAAGTGTCTTACCCAAGGACACAATGACCGACACGGCCAGAGCCTGGATTTGAACTGGCAACTTACCCATTACAAGCTGAACTCCAAACCGTGAGCTACTGTCACCCCCTAACCTGAGGCCATCACGTCCACATTGACTGCTGTTGACAGACAGCGAGGAGTTCCCAATAAAGAGGCTTTTTAGTGTTTATTAGATGAATAAATCAGGTGCAACAAATGCAGCAACATGATAATTTTGGGTCATTGGAAAAAAATAAAAAACTCACTCTGCCTTTTCAGCAAATGTAAATGACAGCTCCTCTGAGTTCCAGTTATGGAGCTAATCAAGAGTTTTTCATATTGTTGAGGGCTCTGATCTTTGAAGAAAGGCGAGAAGCACCAGCAGCTAAAAGAGATGGACTCATAGTGCTGCGTGTTTACAGAACAGATTACTGTTAGTCAGAGGGCCTAATCTCTCTGTGAGGTTTAGTCTTCTGGGGGCACGATGTGTGTGTAGGAGTGGGAGATACCAGAACGTGGGGGTTCCTATGTGTGAAAGCGTATGCAAGGGTGGTGTGTGTGTGTGTGTGTGTGTGTGTGTGTGTGGGTGGGTGGGGTATTAGGCAAGACTGCATGGTGTGGAGGGGTCCCAGAAGTTCAAATATTGAAGGTTCCTAACCTCTCCAATCCTTCACACCAAGAGGGTAATCACAGTGTCAATCCTTTCAGAGTGACTCCCACAGGACTCCACTGCACCGAGGCCAGTGTTTACTCAAGGCATGTTGCTGTACTGGCGTGCTGAAAAGAGCCTGGTGATAGAAAAGATTTCCTCAGATCAAGGAGATCAAGGACTCAGAGCTGAGCTGAGCTGAGAAAGTAGCTGCGTCCAGCTTCTAGGAAAACTTTCTACGATGCGAGCCCTGGACACAGGGAGTCCGTGACCAACTAGTCAAAACAAAGCATCTGTTTTAAATGTTTATATACAGCACGCATAAAGTAAGAGTCAAAAGTAAGCTACCGTGATGTGATGGTTGAGCAAGAGGCATTCCACGTGCCCTCATAAGGGATCTAATCTTCTATTGCCTATGGCATACGCTTCAGCCTGAGTTCATGTTCATGAAGATGTTCGCTCATGTGGAAATTAAGCAAAACTGTAGCTTATGAGGATTTCTTCAGAGATGGATGGGAAAGAAAACGTTTCAGTGAAACTACCAATTTAAACAATGGATAATTAGCAAACAGTCTCTTTTTTTAATCAGCAAGTGCAGTTGAGTGTATTCATCCCAAACAGGCATGTGTTGAGTTTTTTTCTCCTGAGCAGGAGCCTTGCACTTGTCTGCAAAGAATGAGTTTGGCATTGTGATCCTACTGAAACATGTACAGTAACCCAATGCTAGTCGATGCATACTCAAATGTACAAGTTGCGTGCCCATTGGGTATTTTAATCGTTTTGTGTTTGTTTTTCTTGTCTTGTTCTTGGCCAGAATTGCAGCAGGCTGGCAGCGTGTCTCTGTTTCCGAGCCCAGCCGATGGCCTGCACTCCCACTCGCTGCTGTTGGACGAGGAGAGAGGACGTCTTTTGTTGGGAGCCAGGGATCACATCTATCTGCTTGACCCTAACAATCTGGCCAAAGCTCCTAGAAAGGTAATGATAGGAATGCGTGCTGGTGCACATGAAAATCTGTGGAAAAACTCAGATACAACTAGCAAGAAAATAAAGAAAGATCTCAGGTTTGATTCTGCCCTGGCCATTCACTCATATTGAGAGTAAACGTCAGGGTGTTTATAGAGGGTCTCTGCAAAATTTGACAGTGGGAGAAGTTCTGGAAAATATTCAAGCAAGAGCTCTTTGTACACATTACCTCACCCACTGCTCAAATGAGACTTATGCTTGGAGACACTTAAGACATCTTAACCTCAGTTTTTCATTGCGGGCAGCAACATTAAGCCGTCATTTAGCTTAATCTTATGACACGTATACTTCTGCTGCCATTAAGTGGGGTGACGCAAGGTATTTTTTCATTACAATGTTGCCAAAAGGCTCTCAGACATGTTTTGTTTTAGAGAAGCGCTCACCTTTCAGTCAGCAGCAGTCTGAATCCGTCTGTCTGCTAAAGGTCAGGGCCATCGTCTTGGAGGGCACACTCTCACACACACACGCATTTAGACAATTGCATACATAAACATTTGCAAAGCGCACACTCTCCGCTACACATTCACACAGACAGATGCATTTGGATTGGTGCCATATGTTTAAGTTTGTAGATGCAAGTGTTTATGCAGCTGAGGCTGATCCATCAGCGTGGAGACTGTTTATTTGATCTTTATCAAGTCGTCTGATAGTCCTGCTTCTCAGAGCGTTGCCTCTTGGCTCGTCGATACCAATGCCAAAAGAGATGTTCAACAAAAGAAGGACTCCGTTGGACTTTCAAAGCTGCCCTTGACAGTGAACATGATTCAAGTGTGTGCAAACCTGGTGTTAATGAGAGCAGGCAAACCTGGAATGGCAACAGCAGCCACTAAACTACAAGCGTGATAACGTTCCAGGTGTTTCTACCTCAGTTTTCAGGAGGTAGCTGCTGGGTTGTAAAGCTTTTATAACAGTTTTGGAACAAGTCCATATGCTGTTGCACATCCTGGTCACTCCTCATTTAAAACTGCATTGTAAAACTTTTTTGAAACACGAGCGCTCTTCTCATCGTACTGGTGTGTTCCGTATGAATTCCTCTGCTGTGAATATGTGTGGCGATAGCTCTCCGTGGTAGGGTTTAGCAGAAGTAACACACTAAGCAGATAAGCTTGTTATATCACATGTATGAACATGGTGCAACACACTGACGGGACACGGGATAAAGTGCTCCCTCTCGTACCAGTACCCACACATGTCTGACTATACCGACTGTATAGATTTGCATCCAACAGGGGTCTAATTGTACATCCTTTTACTTAGCTCCTGTTTTATTTATTTATAAAAATATGTTTTGCATAATATTGGTGGTTTCTCTGTCTGCAGGCTTAAATGACAAAAATGAAACATCTGTTGGGCTTGAACCTGTCTGGGGAGTCTGCTCTTGTTTTAACCCTTAAAAAGCCACTAAAAAGGCTTCTGAAGAATCTTGGGTTGCACTCAGACTCATATCGGGTCAAGGGGTCAAGAGTTTTCCCCAGTGGAGCCTTTTAACAAGATCCATAAAATCTTAGATTTTATTCTATAACGCACAAGTAATTAGTGTAAAGAAACTAAGAGAGGGCAGGTCATTCTCTCTTCCTTCTGATCTAGTGTATTTTGATAGCGTTGTATATTTTAAACACTATCATGTTCTGCTTTGTTGCTTACAAACCTACATAAATGAACAAGAATCAACTGTTATAAACAGATATGTTTACAGAATACTGTTATTTTAAATAGATATTTTTATTGATTGTGATACTCATGTTTTTATCCGTAAGAAATATTCAATCTCAGTGATGCAAAAAGCCCACTTTTATTACTTATGTATGTATTAAACAATACCTACACTACAGTGCAAGTGTGAAAGATGCTTCAAACAAAGAATGCCTTCAAAAATGGAAGTGTTGATCATGTATTTTCAATCAACATAAACAGCGAATTAACAAAATAGAATAATAGATGAAATTAATAATTGGTGTGACTACCCTTTGCCTTTAAAACTGCATCAGTTATTTTAAGTACCGCACACGGTTTTTGGCTGGGCAGGTTGTTCCAAACATCTTGGAGAACAAACAGATCTTTTGTGGATGTAGGCTTCCTCACATCCTTCTCTGTCTGGCTCCAAAGAGTCCAAACAAGTGGCTTTTGTTTGAAACTTCCAGTTTCCATTCGTACGTCCTGTCTCTTTGTAGGTCAAAGCTCATCCCTTTAGTTATGCTCCTATTAACATATTTTACTGAATGGCATAAAGGCCACATTTCCTCACTCAGCTCTCAAATGACATTATTTAAAATAATACAGATAGAAATGAATATATTCTGTCTGATAAACAGGTATTTACGTTTCTAATTGTGCTCAGTAATTTAATGGTCAATGTGTATTGTGCAGAACACATGCAGCTTGCTGCCAACACATTGTAGTCTTAGATAAAATGTCTGTTTATTTATTTATGGCTAAACTGTCATAAATAGCATGAATGTCTTTGAAATGCTGCTGTTCAATTAGCACTGGTCTTTCTCTGGATTGCTTTAAACTGAAGCCATCTGCTTTTTTCCTAAAAGGGCAACTTTTATTTTTAGCTGGCATTGAAACATTTTATAATCATATAATAACATGAATCAAGTGACTTTGACTCTGGACCTGCTTTGGATTAAATTGACTGTTTTGTATATCTTTTTGAAAGGACCTTTGTTAACTGACACCATATAAACACACCTAATTGAATCTGTCACTAGATCCACTGGCCTGCTTCAAGGGACAGAGTTGAGGCTTGTAAACTGGCTGGCAAAAATCCAAACGTGAGTATTTCTGAAAGAAAAAAAAAAGAAACACACTTTTTACTTACAGTACAATTTGTAGTTTGCGTTAACACATGCCATATGTGTCTTCGTGCACATCCTGTTTAATCAGGTTGTTTATTTTCTGTCCTTGCTTGTCCCAGTTGGAATGTGCTAATTTTATCCGAGTCCTCCACAATTACAACCGAACACATGTCTATGCCTGTGGGACCGGCGCCTTCCACCCCACCTGTGCTTTCGTTCAACTCGCTGGCCACAAAGAGGTAGAGCACAAAAAGATGGGGATATTTTGTTGGGGTTTTGCGTGTTGGCTCAAACACTTTAAATCGTTATTCTGCCTTTATCCACAGGATATGGTGTTCCAGCTGCTGTCTGATACGGTGGAGTCTGGCAGGTTGAAATGTCCTTTTGATCCCTTGCAGCCGTTCTCCTCAGTCCTCACGGGTAAACTTGAACAATGATTGAGAGTTTTATTGCTACTGAGCACCATCTTCCTGGGAGGAAATGTTTCCCCTCCACACAATTGTTTGTGAGAATGAATTTTGTTTTCCAAGAACTCCTTCCCTGATAGTTTTGGTACGCAATTAAGTAGACGAGCTGAGATTTCATAGAGAACAACAAATGCGTTTGGCAGACAGTCATGAACAACATGTGGTTTTAAGCTCCTCTGCCATATGTTACTTACTCTGCCGGGCCTATTTGCACTTGCTCAGGTTAAGATTTTAACTAAATGATAAAATTACTCCATTGTTGACTTTAGCTCTCAAAATACGAGGACATTTTTACTATATTTCACTTTTAGACTCAATGATGCTATGTGTCCATGTCTAATTAATTTAAAGGAATTTATTTTTTTACATTTTTCAATCATTTTCTTGAGCCAGCATGAGCTAAAATGACCATTTACTGGGAGCGGGATTCCCAGTTTGTAACTTCAGTTTCTCCGGACCGCTGACCTGAAGTCTCAGAAAGTCGCACCTGGTTAGCATTTATTGTAACGTATTTATCATGGCGGAGGCTCAGATTAAACAAACAAAAAATACATTTATCTGATGAAGAAACAAAAAGAATATCAGACAACAATAGACGTGTCAAAAAAGAGTCAACATCAGGATTTTTTATTTTATCGCGAGAGCTCAGAGATGTGATTCCTACATGTTTTAATTCAATTCAATTTCATTTATAACGCACCTTCCACAACCTTATCGGAAGCCCAAAGTGCTGAACACCATCATAAATAAAGATAAGCATAAAAACAAGTAACGATCATATGGTAACTCAAGTGATAAAAGCTATTATAAAAGAAAGTAAAATAATCAATTAACAAATGACAAGAATAAGAACAAATGAAACACATTAAAATATTTTAGATTGTAAACAGCTGATTTGTTTTATTTAGTGATGAACCGCTCCTGTAGACACTAAGAAAGGCTGAAGAGACATTTCAGCTGTTAGATTAACCCCGGCTTTCCACGGGAGCCGTCAGCAGCACGTTACTGCAGCAGCACGTCATAGCTGCTGATAGGAACCGCTGTGGTCAACAGAACCTTTTCCACCGGAGCCGCCGGCAGCCATCAGCAGCGCGAGTCGGCCGCGTCTCAGGAGCAGCATGTCGCGGCCTTTACGCGCCGGTTCTATTTTCTACGCGCAACGCCTCTGAAACGGGTCAAGTTCGACATTTTTGGGGAAGGAAAGACAGGAAATTGGATGCGGAAACGGAGCGAAGCTCCCGAGATTTTCAGAATAAAGAACGTACTGCTTTCCGGTTGCTTTACTTTTAAAAAAGGTTACTAACTGTGCGGCCCCGTGAGAAGTTATCACCTAGCTAGCGGTCTCCTTTGTTTTTCAGGTCCGTACTGGCGATTATAAAACGGACAGAACATAAAACACAAACCATGTTGTAGTTTTCTCCTGCTTGTTGTTGTGTTTACTGACGAAGTCACTCGTGTGACTTCGTGCTCGGTCGGTGACAGCTGCTCCCCTGCTGCTTCGCGCCTCGTGGGAAGGGCCAAGCAGCAGCTTACGCGAGCGAGACGTGCTGCTGCAGTAACGTGCTGCTGGCGGCTCCGGTGGAAACCCGGGGTTAGGCGTAAAAACGCAAACGCACTGCGAGGAAGGGAGTTTCATTATCATCTTTATCACAGTGAAATAAAAAGGACACTAAGGGGGTGCTGAAAGCAATGAAAACTGCAAAGTTTCCCTTTGACACATATTTCCAGATGAGTACCTGTATGCCGGGACATCTTCAGACTTCCTGGGGAAGGACTCTACGTTCACACGCTCCCTAGGACCTCCGCCTGACCAGCACTACATTCGCACAGACATCTCCGAAGATTACTGGATCAACGGTAAACACACGCTCTTTAAACCCATCACCACGCTGAGTGCACTCAAAACTTGTTATTGCTTTTTTTTTTGGTTAGTTTTCACAAACCTTCCGGCCTCTACCAACACAAAGAGGCTGCTTATGCCCTTGGGATAGTTATTGGCATTCCGGAGGAGAGAATACAGTCCACTTGTTCATTTAGCTGGGACTTTTATTTGAATGCCATCGCTGAGCAGTAGGGCTGGGGGTAAACGATTATTTTTAAAACGATTATTCTGACGATTATTTTATCGAATAGTCGACTATTCTAATGACTATTTAGAAAATTAATCTAATGATTATTTTTCTATTGCACAATTAACAAAAACCAGAAAATCTCAAATAAATTCCTCAAAAAAATTGATAAATTCTTACTGTAAGAGAATAAACACTACAGGCCTTCCATTTTGTATAACACTGCGTTTATTGTGTTGGTTTTCTGGTGACGTGTAGAACCTGGGAGTGCAGGCTGCTGCCTGAGAGGTGGTAGAAGATGGAGTGTCTCCATGCTGCTTTGTTTTGGTCACTTATGTGCGTGAGGCGAGTGGTCTTACATTTTAAACTAAACCGAAAACCCACAACACTCTAAATGTAATAAAAGGGAGATCTACACCACAAAAAAGATGAACTCTAAACCAAAACGTAACAGCTTATCCCAACGCAAGAAGCTGTTAGCGAAGATGCTAACAGTAGCTTTACCAACATTAAGTTCAAGTTACCAAGTTTAAATAAACCAAAAACACCCAGCAGCAAACAGACCAGCACGGAGGAGAGACTGCTACCACCAAAACAGCTCTCCTCATGTCTGAAAGAAGCTCCTTAATGAAGGGAGAAGCGCTCCCGGTGATTTTCTACATCTGCGACAGACGGAGCAGCGCACATCTGACCCCGGAAGTTGTTGTCCGTTGCCGGGAGACGAAGGGGCAAAACAGGAAAATAATCTAGTAGTGGACGGACATTGTTCCGGGTCTTCGGTATTTGGCGGAGATGTTAGTGAAGGCGGAGAAGAGGGCGAACTAGAGGAAAAACAGGCAGATTCCTCCTCTATTTACAAACTCCTGGGGATGCAACAAGTGGGCGCGGTGCGTCGACTTCCGGATCTGACGTCGACAAATTTTTAGAATCGAGCCGTCGACTTAGTCGAGGCTTCGCTACAGCCCTACTGAGCAGGGGCCACACCCACTGGGGAATTTAAAGTGTGCCACAAAGTTCACAGCCCCCCTACCACACACACACACACACACACACACACACACACACACACACACACACACACACACACACACACACATACAGGTAAGGGTGAACTGCAGGGACATTTTTCCCAAACAAGTTTTTTGATGAACTATAGGGACACCGATTTCTACTTACTGTACAGAGTTGGTAAGCATCTCAAAAAATCTATTTTAAGCCTTACAACACAAATCCCACTTCAAATTTTGTTTACACACAACACACACTTAATTATAAAAACCTGATGAAATGCTTCATTAAAGGGACATCGATAATGAGATGACTTAGCCCCGCCTATGACAAAAGTAGACATTTTAAGGTCCAACAAGAATTGTAAGGACAATACTTTAGAACCAAAAAAAAATCATCCAAGTATGAAAAATACTGGAAATGACCTAAATGAAATGAAGTTGGTCCAAATACAAATCTGTATCAAGTGTGAATTTGAAATGAACCAACCTGAAACAAAGAGCTGCAGTACACCACACTGTGTCTCTGAGATGACCCCTTAACAAAACGTTACAAATATAACCTCAATGTTATTCACTGCACACCTTTTGAGACAAACTGAGTGGACAAAAATCTAATTTTGACCCAAATTCCACCAGCTGACACTCACTGGCACATTAGAGCAGGGACGCTAAAACATGCTGGATAACAGAACAAGATTCCCCTGATGTTGAACTTTTCCTTTTGACTTTGCTACTTTGTCAGAGCAAAGCGAAGCCCTTATTACTGAAGGCAAAGCATGACCCTGCAGGGCCAGTACTTCCTCAATCCATGTTCATATTAAGGCACGACAATAACTAATCTTTTCCACTGAGGCAGGATCCCAAGGGCCCCCCAAACAAAGTTCCACAATGCATTGCTTGCAAGGTTGAGCTGTTTTATTAATGTCTATCATTTTACTCAAGTGAGCTATATTTTTTTTACAAAAAGAGGGTTCAACATGAAATTCTTTGACTGTTAAACGTAAAATCACAGCTTAAAACAAAGTAAAAATGGCAAGCACATTATACTCTCACTTCCTTATAGCTTTGGTGAACATTTAGCTAAACATCAACTAAATATTGTGTTTAACACTGCTTAACCCTCCCACTGTCCTAATGGGTGTGACCCTGCGAGGAAAGTTGACCATTGAGCAGGATTGATGGTTTATCCCTTGGGTCCATGTGGCAGAAGTGAGGAGTGAGCACCACCTCACCCCTGCCACGTGGACCCAAGGGATAAACCATCAATCCTGCTCAATGGTCAACTTTCCTCGCGGGGTCACCCATAAAGATAGTGGGAGGGTTATTGAACTACAACTGTCAACTTGAAAGCACAGCAAATATTCTTGTATGGAGCTTTAATTAACATTTTGCTCAACATCAACGATCGAGACATCTAGGATTTTTTTTTAGCTTTGCCTCTGTTTCGAACAAAGTCTCTTATGTTCTGTGGAGATCGGCCTTTAAGGACGAGATATTCAGCCTTTTTACACTGTTCTATTTCAATGAAGGATGCCAGCTTCCCAGTGTTGATGTGTTTGCTAAAGTACTTCATCACTGCAGCAACTTCTTTTGGAGACCAGGGACGCTTTTGAATCCTTCGAGGGCGCTTCTTTTGGGCTTCTTGATCAGGAAATGCTACAAATAAAAAAAAAAAAAAAATTACTTTGGTAATTATATTCCCAAGAAAACATCCCTACAAAAAGCATACTGCTGTAACCTAGCTGCCAATCCAACTAGTGAGCAGCTGGTTTCTTTCTGATGGATTTGAATGCCTCCATAACCGCACTTCTGATCAACAGACTAATACATCACATTTCTCACAAATATGATAAACATAGGCCTACTGGACTTGTTTGGCAATATTTCTGGTGCAGATATTTGAATCAGCTCCTAAAACCCAAAGGACCACTCCTTACAGTGAATTTAAAATGACACATTTAAAAAAACACTTCAAAAATCTCAAAAATGTTTTCATTTATGAATCCTGTAACTGACTAATGCACAAAATGAGTTTAAATTGAATTCCACCTTAATGTCCTCATTTTCCTTTAATGTGTGAACTTCTTCCAATATGCTGTATTGAGCATTGATTTGCTGACTGAGCACTTTCACATTTCCCTGTTTGACAGAACATTCTTGTTATGGACGTTTAATTCCAACAATCTTTCCTGATTAAAGGTAAAACATAAAAAATAAACGTGACAATGCCACTACCAGGTAGATTATTTATTCTAAACAAACACTGGATGATCAGATCAAATCTGCCTAGCCCAAAAGAAAACACTTAGCTTCCCAGTTGTCCTCTGTGTTAAAGGAGTTCAAGATTATAGCCAAGATGGGTTTTGTAAACTACAGAAACGAACCGGAGTGAAAGACAATATCTGAAAATGCAAGGAAGGATTTAAACAACTCTTAAACCCCATTCAGAACCCAGCCTCTTTGCAAAAAAACTTAATATCTTCACCAGGTAAAATGGCATAACACATCCAACAGTTTCAACTGCCTAGTTTCCACATCTTCACATCAAACTCTCACCAAATTGAGCAACTGATGACCTTTTTTCTGCTCCACACAAAGCCTCTGGTCCTGGTAGGCTCAAAAGAAAGACTCTGCAAGACTGTTCCCCCTCAACCAAGTGAACCTCAAACTATTTCAGGACTTTTCCTATAGTTTGGTAAAAGACAAAAATAACCTAACCCAATCTTTGGCTTAGGACCCTTACAAGTCAGTTAACATGTTTTAACATAAGTTTCTCATTAAAGCCATCATTCCCTTCCTGATCAGTATCCAGTATAATAATTTTGCACCCAAAAACCTTTCCATAAAATCAGGCAGGTAAAAACATGTGAAAAACTAATATCTGATTAAAGGTAAGCTGTGCTTTGCACCGTTAATTTCATAATACTGGCCCAGTTAAATGCATTTCCAAATGTCTGGTTTGCTAGGCCAGTTAATGCTGGGGCAGTTCTAAGTTGAGACATTTGGTTCATAAATACAATAATCTAATGTATGCATGTTTTTATTGTTCCAACATTAATTAGTCTGGTAGATATAGTATTGGAGTGGTACCTTGAGATGTTCCTTCTCCAGGAGAGTCAACATCTATAAACAGAATTCAGAAATGTTAAACCCAAAAAGTGTAGCACTGGTCTGATTCAGTGCAGTTTTAATAACGTGTTGAAAGGCAGTCATGCCATCTGAAGTGTCTGAAGGTTTCTTAGAGGTTAGTGTAGTCCCATGTTTTAAATTACATGAAAGATGCATTGTAAAACTACAAAATATTAATTTTTTTCCTCCAACACAATGGCTGTTGATAAATAAGAAAAATCAATATTTAAGTTAGAAGCGTTAGTAACCCATGATACTTAAAATTAGGTATCCTTTTGTTCAAGACTAGAAAATATAAAAAAAAAAAAAAAAACATTAGAAATTTGCATTTTTTACAGTCCACCACCAGTATTTAATGTGTTTATAAATATTTCTGTAGTGGTGCACAGGGCAGTAAGTCTGTGGGGGAATCCAAAACAGGCAGGGCAACAACAGTGGCACACAGACGGTGCAGGGATGCAACAGAAGCGGATGTGTAATCAGCACTCCAACTCTGATATATGCAGGAGGCGGAGGAGAGAAGCTGAGCTGCAATAGGTGCTGGTGACTGGTGTGCGATGGCTGAGAGAAAGAAGCATGCGAGTAAATAAAAAAGTGGTTATTCTGGGCTTACTGTGTGTGGTGCCATTATGTGGTCATGACCCTGGAG